GAATGACGTCCTCACATCCACACATTCATACATCCCTACATTCGATAATCATACGCATAATGCCATAGCAAAGACAAGTGTGAGCAAAAACCCAAGCCCAAATCCCAGAAAGCCGAAACAAAATAAAAACGGGCAAACCGCCCGGAGCAATCAAAATGTATGTATACAGATGAAGGTGGGGGGGGGGGGAGGACAAGGAAACAGCAAATCCACGTCCATCGACCTCAACTCTCTCTTCCTCTCTCTCTCTTTCCGATGCGGACAGTCCGTCGTCACGCACCAACCCACGAAGTCGTCACCCCGCTTAGTCCTCCCGCACCCGTCGGATTCGCCCGTGCCCACAGTCCGTCGTGGCCCACGTCAATCCCGTGCGTTCGGCACCAGCCCGTCGGGTCGCCCAGCTCCTACTCTACTCACCTCTTACTTCGCTCGTGTGTCGACCCTTCCTGATCGCGCAACCCCGAGCTTCTAACAACGGGTTAAGAGAGCTGACTAATCGCGCATCCGAAATTTATAGCGTGCATGCATGCACGAAGAACACAAATTTACCAGGACTTAGAATGAAGATTAGAGAGGGAGCGTCTGCGTTCTGCATGATCGGCCGCGGCGTGGGGGACGTAACCCTTCTCCACGCATCGATCTGAGCATGCAAGCCGCAGCTTACAAAACTTCAGCAAAAGAAAGAGAGGGAGGGCGGGAGAGACGAAGTGCAAGAAGAGAGAGACAGTTACAATGGCGTCCGCCCAAAATTACAGTTACACACGTGATTAAGGGCGCCTGCTAATCAGAGTTCCGTTGCAGCCGCATGAAGAAGCGCGAAAACAAAAGGCACCGCACGATAGGGAAAATCCTAATTACTAAATTCCTAAATTCCTATCTAATGCGAGAAAGCAAAAAGAAGCACGAATTCAGAAGGAAAGTCCAAAATTCTGAAAGTCATTGGGGGCTCGACAAAATTCGAAAAAGATTCAAGAGGAATTTAAAAAAGGACGAAGCAATTTCCCGCCCGATGTCCGCGCCCAAAAGATCGAACCCGAAGCGAAAGGAACGACGTCAACATTTATTAATTGCGCGCGTTGTGGCGCGCCAGACATCCATCCGACCAATCTCCCAACCGGCCGTCCCCGGACGCACCCAGCCCCGAAGAAGCGACGAAAAAGCCGAAGAAGCAAGGGTACTGATGTAATTTTCCACCGATCCCGATTTCCCGTAAGTGGCCCAATCTTCCCAGCTTAGGACCCCTTGTTGCAACTGCGCAGAAACTCGCGCGTTACAGAAAGTGGTTCGTCACATATGTGACGCCCAGGGGGTTCCAATATTAGCAAGCTCCTGCTTGCTTGTTGACACGTGCCAATTTCTCTAATCGATCGACACGCGGAGCACTTCACTTTTATGCCACTTACCGTTCGATTGCGTGTGGACGTCATTCAACGTGGCAACTTGGCTCTTCTACTACTTCCTCAGATTGGGCTCTCGACTATCCAAGGACGGGACCTTTCTAGTGCCGTCGCCGCGACACGCGTCCATTACCGCTGCATCAGTAATTAACCGGAATGGGGAAGGGAAGGCGATACGTGTATGAGGGAGGGCGGGGCGGCTCCATCGTACGTTCGGGTATGAAGCGCCCGATGTCAGTGAGGTCATACGGAAGTTCTTGAAAACAGACAATGTGATGGAAGTGGGGGAATCTTTGGCCGCTGCAGGGAAGGGATGCGAGGTAGTCTGGGTAAAGGGATACGAGGGTTCGGAGGATGTATGTGCGGAACCGGTCATGGTTCTCGCACGCGGGGAAGGTCCCCGTAACGATGCAGTACACCTTTATATGGTTACGGCCTCGCCACGTGGCGCTAAGGAGCAGAACGTGGAGGGAGTAGTCGGGGATAGCACACCGGACGGAGGGGTGGGGGTGGACAGTCAGCTCTAGGCGGGCGGAGTAGAAATGTCGGAAGGTGGTGATGGGGAAGGGATTACGGGGGTAGGCGATGCAATGGAAATACTGATTGAAAGAGAGATAGCTAAGGGGATGGTGGTATATGGATTGGGGACGAAGGGCTAAGCCCCTCATTGACACGTTGACGAATTGGGGGACGGGCGGAGGCGGAGGGGGGCGTGGATCGGGATCGGGATCGGCGCCTTGTCGTCGCGGCTCCCGATGTCGTGGCAGCAAGGTCCCCATGTTCCGGCTTGGGCGGCTCGGGATCTTTGAAAGGATCGTTCGGTGCGAGATCGATCGCCAGCCGTTTTCCTTCCGCGATCTCTTTCTTGCGCTGCGCCTCAGCCCGGGTTCTCCTCTCTATGATCCGGTCCTGGCACCCGCTCGAGCTCGTCGTGCGTTGGCTCCTGGTTGTGCTCGCTTTCCACTCCTTCGTCGTCTTCCTTGTCTTCCTCCTCCTCCTCACTTTGCTCGCCCTCACTGTGCTCACTATAGGCCTCTTCCTCCTCCTCTGAAGTCTCCTCCTCAAGGTCTTCTTCTTCTTCTTCTTCTTCTTCTTCTTCTTCTTCTTCTTCTTCTTCTTCTTCTTCTTCTTCTTCTTCTTCAGCTTCCGCTGATTCTTCTTCTACTTCGCGCTTTTCTTCTTCGTCCTCGGCCAATCGGGTCGCTGCTTCCCCGGCCTCCCTCCTCAATTCTCCTTCCGATTCCTCTTCGGCCTCCTCTTCTGGTCTCAGCGCTGCCCACTCGAACGCTGTTGGTTGCCGAAAGAAGCGGGGATTGGTTAGGTTGTGGACGTCCAGGTACTCGCTACGGGAAGGAAAACGGTCGTCCGCCCAGCGCTCCTCGATACAAGCAGACCACTGGAGGCTCGGGGCGAGGGTCCTTGAGAGGGTATGTGGCACGGGTTCTTCGTCGCTCTGAGAGACTATGTCGAGAGGGAGTTCGTCGGCCTATCGCGCGATCACGATCGTAAGTTCGCGCACAATCTGGGATCGGTTTCCCCGATCCACTGCTCCAAAGAGGAATCCCAAAAGATCTTCCGTCACGTTGGTCCTCCACGCCTGAATGACGAGCAACTCCACAATCTCCAATGCGGGCCTCCGCTCGCCTTCCCACATCCAGCTCAGATCCACTCGTAGCAGGCAAAACGAGAGCTCGACGAATTCTGTACGCCACAGCCACCAACGGTCTGGATCAATGATGGGTATTGTCAATGGCTTCAGACGGAAGGAGAGACGAGGGAAGTGGGAGGACTGCCAGAAGATGGGGAAGAGGGAGGGAGGAGAGAACGTTGAGATCGGCGCGCGGCTCATCTGCGTGGCTGGAAGGGGGCAAGTTCTGGGAGGACGACAGGTGGCTCGCGTAGCGTCATGTGCAGCGTGTTGACTTCGATGCCGTCGTTAGGATAGCACTCGTCACCGTGCCTTGTGAGTCGTCGATCCCAATCAGTGGCCAGATCGCGGCCCCACCGGTACAAGGTGTTTTTGATGGCGGCTTGCCGTGCCGGATCAAAGGTGGAGATGTCGCCGCTGAAGACTACCACGATAGACACGTGGCTGATTCTCGGGGCCGCTCACCGTTGGAACGTCGTTGCCTCGGCTAACACCACTACCTGGGGATCGCTCGTGAATTGGAATTCTGTCGCGCCGTATACACCTGCGGTGCAGAAGAACTGCGCAAGGCGCATGAAGTCGGGGCTGATCCGCGGATGATGTACTTGGCGGATGGCTGAGATCTCTCCCCGTGGCATCAGCAATTGATTACTGAAAGCTCGCTCAATGGCGAAACTCATGGCGATGGCGGGGGTGACGGGGTGGCAGAGTGGGAGCAAGAAAGGGAGGGAGATGGCGGAGAGTCTGAGCCGTCATCGTCGGCTTCCTCAGAAAGAGAGATCGAGGGAGAGGGAGACAGAGTAGAGGGAAGGAGGCGAAGATGGGACACGTGGCGTGTGATCGGACGAGCCGATCGACTGCCAGAGACTTCCGGGGCGAGGCGCACGGTGTCCACTCCGTTGGGGCCGAGCTCGATCACGAGATATCACCCGAAGAATCGTGGCGCTAGCTTACCCTGGCGAGCACATTTCCTCACCTGCACTATGTCCCCTAATTTGTATTGGGGCCGTGGACCTACATTCCCGTTCCGGGCCTTGTAACTTTGGACCTGTCGGCCTTGGGCTAGTTCGGTCATTTTTTGTCGTTTTCGGGTTAGCCTGGGCAGTGACAGTTCCATAAGCTCTTGATGTCGTTTGGCCTTGTCCCTAGCCGTGGCCCTGGTGGGCCGTCAGTTCAAGGTAGACTCGTCGGGGAGGCTTGGTATTGAAACGCAAGCGACGCTATTGGTCCTTAATTGGAAGGGGCTTAGCCCTATTGATTCGTGCGGCGTTCCGCGATGGACCGCCAGGATGTGATCGACAATATTGGGCCAGGGCCTCGGATCTCGTGCCGCGATGTTTCATCGCAATGCGGTCTTTATCACCCAGTTGGCGTTTTCGACCAGCCCATTGGATTGCGACATGTGGGGTGCAGTGTTCCGTATGGCGACGCCATGTAGGACCAAATTCCTTAGCACTTCTCCCCTGAATTCCGCCCCGTTGTCGGTCAGGATCTCTTCCGTATCTTGATGCATTCCGAGAAAACGGTTGACATATCGCGTGATTTTCGTGGCTTGCCGTGTACGACAAGGATACGCTTCGATCCATTTCGAGAAATGGTCGCCGAATACCAATAGGACTGAATACTCGCAACTATTAGGGCCAGGGGGCACCACTATGTCGGTAGTGTCCATGCTCACTCTTTGGAATGGTCGTTCAACGACCGTGGGCACTATCGATCTTGGTGGCTGAATCGGCGCTTTATCAGCGGCGCAGACCTGACAGTTGGCGACGATGTACTTCACATCGTCGCGGATATTGGACCAATACCACTTATTTTTGTCGATCGCGGACTCTGTGATTCGTACGGCAAAATGAGCCGCAGTTTCCTCGTGGGCTGTCTTAAAACAGTCATACCGCATGAACGGATGCGGCACTACCATCCAAATCCCACTGCGTCCGTTTTCCATTTTTCTAATCTACCCTCTACCCATCGATAATCCCGAGCCCTTTCGTTGGCCCTCCTCCGATCTTCTTTAGTGAAACCCTGGAGGGAGTTACCTACTAGGGTGGCAATTAAGGCAATATCCGTCCATACTTCGGCCCTTCTAAACTTTCGGGTTTTTTCCAATCCTTCTGATGTGGCATCCAAAAATCGAGCCTCGGTAGGAATCTTGTCGGTCCGGCACAAGGGGCACAACCATGGTCTATTATCGTTCCTGTATTGGATGCACGAGCCATGGGCTCGTGCAACACACTGTCGGCAATCTATCCAATCCGCATACCCCTCCCTGTTAGGACGCATGGGGACCGCGTATACGCGAGAGATAGCTTCGCAAAAATAGCAAAATTTGTCAGGCAGGGAGAGGAGAGACGAAGAGGAAGGGGGAGAAAGAGAGATAGTGGGGTCACCTCCATTACCCATCGCCACCGCTTTACTTCTTGCCACGTGGAAGTTCAGCCACTTGTCCGTATTTCGGCTCGTCGGTCAAGTCCGGCTCCTTCCACGGTGTAATTTCCTCACCCTTTGGTACCTTGACAGGTTGGTGTAGACGTGTCAGCCCGTCCGCGTTGTCGTGCCGCTCTGTCTTTCGATGGATGATATCGAAGTCGTATTCTTGTAGTCGTACCGCCCAACGGCCAATCATGCCCGTGTAATTGGTGAGTTTCTTCAGCGCTAGCAGAGGCTCGTGATCCGTTACGAGGCGAAATTTCGATCCGTAGAGATACGGGTGGAAGTGTTGGATTCCCCAAACTACCGCATAGCACTCGCCTTGAGGTGCGGAGTCGTTTCTTCGTTCGTCTGGTACGGTTCGAGATGCGTACTCGATGACGTGTTCGCGACCATCGTTCCCCTTCTGTGCTAGAATAGCGGAAATAGCTTCCGGTTGCCAGTCCGTGATTAGAATGAACTGCTTCGAGGGGTCCGGCCGGATCAAAATAGGGGTCGTTGCCAGAGCGTCCTTGAGAGTTGCAAAAGTCTGTTGGCACTCCGCGTCCCAACTGAGGGGCTGGTCCTTTCGCAATAGATTTGTTAGTGGTCGTGCAATCGCGGCCAAGCCCTTGATGAAGCGTCGATAGTACGATGCCAGCCCCAAGAAGGCTCGAACCTGCGTCAGTGACGTGGGAACCGGGGCTTCCTTTACCACCGCAACTTTTCTCGAGTCTGGTCTCAATCCTCCACGTGTCACGACGTAGCCCAAGAACGAAATTTCCGAGAGGAAAAATTCGCTTTTCTCGAGCGCAATCTTGAACCCAGCGTCTCTCAATGCACTCAATGTCCACTCGATGTGTTGCGCGTGCCCGTGATAGGTCTCCGAATAGACCAGGATGTCGTCCATGTACACGATTACGCAGAAGTTGATCATTCCCTGCGTCAACCGTGTCTTGTTGATGAAGTTCTGGAACGTCATGTTCATCGCTCGCTGAAACGTGGAAGGCGCATTGCAAATTCTCATCGGACACTGAACCCACTGCCACGTGCCCTCAAACAACACAAAGGTCATTTTCGGTCGATCTTCTTCCTTTACCAGAATAGGATGGAAGCCATGTCGAATGTCAAACTTGCTGAAATAATTAGCGCACCCAATCGCATTCAACAAATCATCAATCCGGGGGAGGGGATACACATCTTTGATCGTGATTTCATTCAGCTTGCGATAATCAATACAGATGCGAATTGCTCCATTTTTCTTTGGTACTAATACTACGGGAAAAGACCAAGGTCCGACAGCGGGTTTAATCCACCCGCTCGCTTCGAACTCCCGAATTCGTTCGAGGGCCTTTTTGCGTTCAATCAAGGAATACCGATAGGGTTTGCAATGAATCGGGGAGTGATTTCCTGTCTGAATTTCATGTTGGATTACTAACGACAACCCAATGCCAGTGTCTGACACGCTAATCACTCCTTGATATTCCGTTAGAATATCCGCAATTACCCAGTGGATTTCATCCGGTACATACTGTGCAACGTGTAGTTAGAAAGGTTGGTCCCAAATCCGAACGTCGATCTGTTTCGTATTTGCCTGTTTCGTCAAGTCGGGTGAAGGCGCCGAGATGAATGAATGATCCGATCGCCAGGAGAACACCGTGGCCAGCATCTGAGCATCTTCTTCCCGGATTGCCACGTGTCCTTCCGGGGTAATCCCGTCGCAAACATCCTGCCATGGCATTTCCTTGGTTGCAATCTTTATTCCCAGCCCGTCTGTTTCTGCTTCAAAACGCCCAGGGGTTTCCAGAGATCTTGCTTCCGCCCCCAAGCGTAACAACCTCACTTCTTTAGCCTATGTTAGCAAAGACCTAGGTAGTTCCGTAATGTCGCAATAATGCTTTTTATCTCTATACCTGGCGAGGAGAGGGGTCATCCCTTCGTACAGAGTTTGAGGGGGTTCCAAAGAGTCGACCATCCTCAAAATCTGCACGAGGGGCTCTCCCAAGATCATTGTCTTGGTCCTTTGATTTTTTCGGCTGGTCAGTTGCATCGTTCTTGCTATCGTCTTGGGTGGCGGGTAGTAAACGCGTTGTCGTACTAATTTCAAGATCTCCGGATCATCTTCGTCACTGCTTTCCGCATCATCAGATGATTTTCCTTYTGTGGGTTCGYCCYAGGAGATCATGYGGAGAGTCCCGGCCATCATCGGCGAGACCCGYGGAACCGCATTAATAGMAGTGCGAAGGGTCAATCGCATGGGCACCGTGTAGGGTTTTCCTCCTGTATTTCGGAGGACGATCGATCGTCGTTCGAAATCCAGGTTTGCTCGTAACGCCACTAGAGCGGGAAGTCCGAAAAGAACGTCGTACGTATTGACATCTAGTACTACGACATCCCCAAGCGCGTGTACTTTACCTAATCGGAAAGCAACATTGGTCATTCTCCCCACAATTTTAATCTTTTCCTCATCTGCCGAAACGAGCTGATCTTTCTCGGTGAGCATAATCAGGTCGTTTTTCCTACCGGCCCTTTCGACCACTCGTAATGAGATAGCCAACACAACGGCTCCTGAATCTATTATCACGTTGTAAGGAACTCCCCAAATTTCAATATCACATTCCACGGACTTCCACGGAATCGGTTTAATCCGTAAGAAGTGATCGTCTTTCTGAATTAACCCCACTCGTATTGGGTCCGGAGTGCTTGTTGGGTTTTCTTCCGGCGCGGGGCCCTTGGCTTTGGCACTTGGTGTTCGGGCGAGGGCAAATCGCTTTCGGTTTGCTTTGCAATGCTGTAGCATTCGCTCATTGGCTTGCTCAGAGATCGAGAGTAGGTGACCGATCGGTAGTGGAATCCGATGGTCCAGAGCTCGGATAATGTTTAATACATCGATTTCTCCTGTGATGAAGGTGGGTCCTCCCGACTCCATTTCTCCTAAGGACGGTCGTCACTCCGCCACTTCTTTCAGTTCTGGTGCTGGTCTGATTGTTCCGATCATTCCTAATCCAGGATATCCCAGCGACACATACTGATCTAGCGGAATTAGCTCGGCGGCCTCTTCCGAGGTGGCCAAGGCACTCCCCCCACCCTCTACTTCTTCCATCAAGGCTCCGACCCGTCCAGGTCCATGGGCGATGGGGGCCGCAGCCATAGGTGCGACTCCGATCCGCTGTTGCGGAGGTCGGTGGGGGCAATCACGGGCTAGATGTCCGGGCTGATGACAGGCATAACAAACATTCAGATTGTTCGCAGCTCCCCCGAGGGCAGGGGCGGGGGCTAATCCTTGTTGCATCGGAAGGGCACGCACCGCAATAGGTCGCATGTTCCTCATCATGGCTTCCAGCCGAGCATTGTGCTCTCACTGTTCCTTTTTGCTTTTTTTGATCAAACTAATCAAAGTTTTGGTTAGTTCGAAAATGGTTGCTGATTCGTTCGATCGTACGGGAGCCTCCACCGGCGGCGGGGGTAATGCCCTGACGGGCGGGGGCATCATAGGAGCAGAGATGCTCGGAGTCTCGCTTAGGATTACTCATTTGGGGCCTATCTGTTCCATGTAGGTGACAGGTCTTGATACAAATCCCATGTTATCAAATTTGTTCTATAAAGCAGCCAGTTTTGCTCTTGCCCGTACGAACTCGGTTAAATCTCCGTCTCTAGGGTAGTCTTTTCCTTCCAGGAAGTTCGCTGCGAACTTCCGTTCCATTTCTTCGGCGGCAGCCACAATTTGTTGTAGCGTATGAGTAATGGGAGAAAACTGCTTTCGCAACTTAGTCCTTATTGTTCGACTGCGGAGTCCGTCAATGCTCACCTCGCTCAGTTTTTACGAATATCCTGTAGAACCGGTTTCGATATTACGCAACGGATTCGAGCGGTTGTTGCACTCGGTCCTTGATCTTGTATAATGCCTGCTCAGGGTGAACATAATCAAATTGGTTCATGAAATCTCGTTCGAAGGTCGGGAGATCCACCCATACATAGGTACTATACCAATGATGAGCGTCTCCTCCCATTCGAGCCGGAATATTGATCTGTGCTTCGTGATCATCGTACTGTTGTGCTCTAAGCGTGGCCAGCCATACTCCTGCGAGATAGTGCGCCGGATCAAATAGATAGAGATCTGGTGGCGACATGGGAGCTCGTGCACTTGGGACAGGTTGATTAGGTAGATTAGCATTTTGTTGCGAAACCGGAAGTTGCACGTTGGCAGCCATATTGGCTGCTCGTCGGTTAGCCGCTCTGCTTCTGGTGACGATAGGGTCGCGTCTAGGCGCGTTCCGAGGGCGAGGTCGCCCACGGTTAGCCAGATCGCTTAATTAACGTGCTTTTACTCCTAAGACCCTAGCCACGTGTCGGGCTCCGATACCAACCTCACGCCCAGCGCGACTTCCTGATCGGAGTGGGATGTGGGCTTGGAAGTGCGACGAGGGGTGTGCCACGGATTTTTGAGGAAAGTGGGGGAGTCTTAAGGGTATGAATGCAATAAGGCGAGCGTGCACAAGGGACTCACTGTCCGATGGGGCCGGGACACTGTGGGCGACGGGTTGCGGGAAAATTCCTCCGTGGTGGAGGTGGTCCTGAAAAGTTAGGCCGTCGGGGGCCGCCA